CCAATGATTGAAACATTTGTCACAACTGAAATGGGTATGGGTATGCGTAAACCCACCTTAAGATAAACACAACTCTCAATAAATATAGTCGTCGGTTTTCCATTTCCCACCTGACTGTTGATGACCATATCTTGTAGATAGTCGTTTGTATACATGGGAAGGTTTAAGGTCGAGAAAACTGCAGGATTTCCTGCAATACCTAGCAGACCTACTGCATTTGTTGTGGTACCAACACTAACCAGGGTTATCTGGTTCTCGTGGCCTAGAAACAGATCTTTTTAGTGACAGTTTTATTTGGAGAGTTCAATCTAAGTTATCTTGTTGTTGGCAGGGATTTTTAGCACGGAATATTTATTCATTATGTACTGTGGATGTATGATCAAACACTTCCAGTTATGGTGTGTCCAATAAACCTAATGATGTCAGCATCATTGTAGAAGGCTTACAGGACAATTCATTTTATTGAGTTATTTACCGTTGCAATAGCAACAAGCATGCCTAACTGAGATCTTAATCCAGATACACAGGAAAGGTCGTAAAATCAAGTGTTTGACTAATGTGTTAAATAACGTCAAAACTAGAACTGCTGGACGCTATTCAAAAATAGGGGGACCACTATACGTTTTGCCAAATTCAAACTAGTTATAAACCTTAATATCCTTAGGCTGAAGGTATACGGATTGTTAGACATACCAGAAGAGAATACATCAGGTTTTAGCATTTTTAATCTGTCACATTTCAAATGGTTCAAACGGTTGTGGATGGAATAGAAGAAGCTTTTGCTTAACGGGCTTTCGTGTCCAGTAGCAGTGGATCACCAATACTTTCAGGCAGGAACCTAGGTATACTAACAATAATCGAGGAAAAAGAAATTGGCAAATCATAGTAAGATATTATCCTTGGTCCTTAAGAATAAGTCAAATTTTCTACTAAAGAACTCCTGGGAAGTCACTAGGACTAGCTTAAACAAATTTCTCTACTTCTTCTGAATTTTAAGCTAGCTTATTTTATTCCATTACCACAATGAAAAAAAATTTTGAATCACTCATCACACTTCACTTCGCGTTATGGCACTGTTGGGCGGAATACAAACGAACTGACAACAATGGAGCGTGCAGGCAATACAAACATATAAGGAACATATGCACGAAGGCTGTAGGAGAAGATAGGCTTCAGTACCAGACAAAGCTTATGGACAAATTTGCCTCTAATCCTAAAAGCTTATTCCCTTATGCAGCCTCTCTTCGTCGAGCCAAAACTGGAGTTTCCCAACTGGTAGGCCTTAACGGCCCGACCAACAACGATGGCGACGCCGCTAACCTTCCGGCTGAACATTACTCCCAGACATTTCAACCGACCGACGTTAACTTTACTGATGACAGTTTCGTTCGCAACTCCACAGGACTTTCCGAAGTGAACCTAAGCGCTGACTTGGTGTTCCGGAAACTGCAGCACTTAAGATTAGACACTTCTCCTGGCCCGGACATGGTCCATTCCGCCATACTGAGGGAAGCAGCCTCAATCTTGGCAACGCCGCTAAGCGTGATGTTCTCACACTCGCTAAGTCGAGGAAAACTACCGGAAAATTGGAGGCTGGCTCACATCACACCAATTTTCAAAGGAGGTCAACGCAGTGAACCTTCAAGTTACCGACCGGTGGCTCTTCTCTCCACACCCTCAAAAATCATGAAGTCCCTGATATGCGATGGTATAAATGACTATTTACTGTCCTCCTAACTCCAACAGCATGGTTTCAGGAAGGGTTACTCTTGTATTACCAACCTGCTGTCTGAGGTGGACAGTTGGACAAGCATCCTTGATCACAAGGGGAAGGTTGATATCATCTACCTAGATTTCTCAAAAGCTTTTAATAAGGTTAACCATACATGTTTTATCAATAAGCTCAAACGATTAGGTATCATACCACCTCTAATCGATTGGCTCACTTCATAACTGAAAAATCGACATTTAAGGTCAGGGTTAATTTCACTTTATCTCAGGCTATGGAATGTTCTAGTGGGGTCCCCTAGGGCTCAGTACTAGGACCTCTTCTCTTCTTGATCTACATAAATGTTCTTCCTCAACAGGTAACGCCAGACTTATTACTTTTTGCCGACGACGTGAAACTTTGGAGAGAGATACGCAATCAAGACCATCTACAGGCACTTCAGGAGGATCTGACTCGACTTCAAAGTTGGGCAGACGATAACGGACTTACCTTCAAGACTTCAAAATGTAAAGTAGTCCATCTGCGACATGTCACAGACTACAGTTATAACTTAGGAAACTCCTCTCTAGTAGTATCCCAAGTCGAAAAAGATTTAGGCGTCCTGGTGCCCCATGACTTAAAGTCTTACGCTAACTGTGACAAAAATGCCTTCCGAGCAAACCTTGCACTGGTAACGTTGAGGCGCATTTTTGGACAGTTTGACGGAAGAACTTTCCACACAGTCTTCAATAGTTTCATCCGTCCCCATTTAGAGTACGGAAATATAGTACTCCCCCCTCACTCCAAAAGGACAAGGTCACTTTGGAGCGTATCCAACGGCGAGCCACGAAATCAGTTCGAGGACTCAAATCTAAGCCTTACGAAGAATGCCTCCGTTCACTAGACCTTTACCCACTAGAATATAGGCGTCTTAGAGGTGATTTATTAATGGCTTATAGTATTCTTAACACTTCTGGACATCCTCTTAAACACCTACTTAAGCTTAGTTCGAATAATAACCTAAGGGGTAACACCCAGAAACTGGAAACACAACATAGCAAGACGGACTGTAGACACAACTTCTACTCCTTAAGAGTTGTCAAATGCTGGAATTCGCTGCCGGCCGAGCTAGTCCAAGCGACTTCCCAGGAGTCCTTTAAGAGGCAACTTGATCTATTTTTAAGGACTAAGGATGGTATCACACTATGATTTACTAATATCTTTTCCTGTTTTATTGTTAACATACCTAGGTTCCTGCCTGGAGGATTTAGTGATCCCCTGCTACTAGACACGGAAGCCTGTTAAGCGAAAGCTTCTTCTATTCCGTCCACAACTATTTGAACTATTTGAACCATTAGTCTTGGTGGCAAATTGCATTGTGCGTTACTCAGGGATGCATTGATGTTCGCAAAATGGTCCAAATGTCCTCATGGGTTAGTATTTGGGTAAGTGTTTTTGTTCTGGAGCGTTTTTTAATTCGTTCGATTCGGTATTTAATAATTTTTAAGTACGACGTTGTTAGACAATCCATGTGAGTGAATGTTGAAGGCAGTGACTCTGAAATTGTCTTGGAGGTCATAGGAGCTAGGAAGACATGCGGAGAATTTTTAGCAAACGAACTTACGGAAAGATCTCAGACAACGAAATAAGTTCCCACGACCCAGTTTAACTGTACTGGAGAGCCCTTTTAGGTTTTCGTTCGACCATGTGCCCCACTTGGTTTGTATTCTTGTTGTATAGTAAAGAAGAAATGACTTGTAGTAGGATTCATATTGCTCTAATATTAACATGCGTTCTTTCGTATGGGCAAACAGCATTCTGTGATCATATCTAGTGTCGGTTTGTGGCGAAAACTCGTACCTCAGTCCTCAACCATATCATCTAACTTGAAATTCTAACCATAATTCGGCGGGACTGTAATTTTTGGACGAACAAATCAGACTTAGGATAACAGGTCTTGAATCTTGGCACGAAATCCACCCACTCATTCGTCCAAATAGCGTCTTGGCATTTTAGCTATTGTCAGTTCGTGTTGAAAAACTGTAGTCTGATTCCTAGCCCCAACTATCTGTTGTAAATCCTGATCCTTATTTTCCAAACTGCTTCACAACCCTCAGTTAGCCCTAGTAAGTAGGTAGACACTCAAGGTCACTTCTATGTTGCTCAAAGGTTGTCTATAAATCAGTCTCATCCCTAAAACTACGCGCGTATTTATTGAACAATTTCGAACTTACTGAGTAGACAATTTCTCCCAAGATCACTAGCGTCGCTCAAAGGTCATCCATAAATTATGTTACCAGTAAATTTGGTACAGATCGGTCCTTAGAGTTACACCTTACTCTATGCATCCAGATTACCAGAAATAGTTTTGTTTCCTGTACAGTAAAACTACTGCTTCCATCGCCATCAGAGTAGTTAGGTATAATTGACCTCGATTTTCCCGTCCTATCGTTGTTCAACGCTGTTTTTTTTACTTAAAATACTGTAAATCACCAGCATAGATGATCTATGTCGAATGATTAGGGGTCTACTAAAGTAAGATGGGGATGGTGTGACGAACCAGCTAACGTCGAAGTCACACCTCGCTGTCAGCACCTTACGTGGATTGCCCCATAGACGTATCGAGGTACTATAGATGCTTTGAAGACTGTATAACACAAAGGACGTTATTACAGAAATATATTAGCTATTTTATTATATATTTCAACACAGATATTGGTACAAAGAGGCACCAAATACATGTGCGCCACACAAATCTCATTTGATATGTGTGAGGGCTGTGATGCTGCCCGGGTGCCCACACAGAAGGAGGTGGTTTTCTTAGGGAGCCACTCCCCTAGCCTTCGACCTGAAGGTCTGATCCACAAGGCAGTGGAGCATCATAAGGAGATGCAGTCCCATGATAGCCGGTGACTAACAATCGTTTCATACGCCATTTGTTCCCTCAGGATACTGGAGCCCATGTGTAACATTGGTTTGGGATCGGGTTAGAGCGCCGGACATTCGCTTTTCGTCCTCTCATTTTCGTAATCAACACCCCCGCCACGAGAAGGCAGTGAGTAGGAATTCCCTGGCATAGGCTATATACGCGTGGTCATGTGAGAGCATTTCGAGAGGGAGAGCGGACTCTTCCCACTCTCGGCCGTACCAGGGCATTTGGGGGCATATTAGCTAAAGTAGATACAAGCGAAAGTAAGACCACTGCCTCATGGTTCAGTCTATGGCATACGATTAACTGATGCGGGTTGGTTGTCCTTGACTTTGACAGGGATCGATGATCGGTTCGATATTCAGTAATTCAACTGCCGGATGATTTGACTAGAGTTTAGTGACATTTCACTGGCCGTACAATGCTTTGCAAGATATGGACGTTTTTAATTCTGATATACGAGGAATAATACTTACTAATATGCCAGTAACAAACAGATTTCTCGTACTCATGGACACGTTTCTCACCTTTCCTATGTTGATTGCCTCCTGCTTTCAAGACCAATTCCAATTTACTGCTATGATATTAGTACTGATGTTTAGAGGTTCCGAAGTAGGATTCTAGAATTTATTGTACCACACTGCCAACAAGAATAAGCTCTTAACATCCGAATGCTATTATAAACCATGTGGCGACCCTTTCTTTCTAAAGCCATGAATGTTTAGAAGACGTGCATGTGTTTGGGTGAGACCAAATGCCCTGGTACGGCCGAGAGTGGGAAGAGTCCGCTCTCCCTCTCGAAATGCTCTCACATGACCACGCGTATATAGCCTATGCCAGGGAATTCCTACTCACTGCCTTCTCGTGGCGGGGGTGTTGATTACGAAAATGAGAGGACGAAAAGCGAATGTCCGGCGCTCTAACCCGATCCCAAACCGATGGTGCACATGGGCTCCAGTACCCTGCGGGAACAAATGGCGTATGAACCAATTTTTGGTCACTGGCTATCATGGGACTGCATCTCCTTATGATGCTCCACTGCCTTGTGGATCAGACCTTTAGGTCAAAGGCTCGGGGAGTGGCCCCCTAAGAGAACCACCTGCTTCTGTGTGGGCACCCGGGCAGCATCACAGCCCTCACACATATCAAATGAGATTTATGTGGCGCACATGTGTTTGGTGCCTTCTTGTACCAATATCTATGTGTTAAAATAATAAATAAATGAATAATAATTTATGGACGACCTTTGAGCGGCGTTAAAGTGACATTGAGAATCCCCACCAACTTACTGGAGCCAAATGGGGATTATGAAGCAGTTTGAAAAATAAGGATTATGATTTACAATTGATGGTTGGGGCTAGGAATTAGATTTATGGTTTTCATCATGAACTGACATCAGCTAAAATGCCAAAAATCTATTTAGCTAAACGGATTAATGATTTTCACGCCGAAATCCAAGACCTATCATCCTAAATCTGATTGGTTCGTCCATAGATTATAGTCTCGCCGTTTTCTTCTTGTTGACCCGCAAATGTGGGAATAGCTTCAATTTGTAGATCAAAAAGTATTACGTACATAGTCGTGCCGAAACAAAAAATCGAATTTTTTCAGGATAATAAATCGAAGGTGTCTTCTCTATCTCATGTTAACTTGTCGTCGATAACAGTTGTACTGTAAAAAGTCAGTCTGGAAACCAATTTTGTTTGTGAGATACAAAATGTAAAGATTGGTATAGATTCTTTGTGGGCTAATAACACCAGCTCAGCAATAGTTGAAATACATATTGGTTAGGATTGTGCGCGATGATCGAGAGGATTAGTAGTTAATAGAACAGAAAATGTAGCAAAGGTATTGTTAAAAATAGTCTACAGTTATTTGAAATCATAAAACAAATTTGATCTAAGAAATTGACAGTGATATTAGAAAAATAACTTTACTCTCATACCTTACTTTTTTCTGTTGTGCTTAAGGTCGTTTTTGTCTTATATATTAGACGAAGCAACTGTACTGGACCTTTTTAGTGGACCAACATATCATGTTCACCGCTAGACTTATGTATCATGAATTTGATCCAGTGTAAGATCGTAAATATTCATTTCTTCTTAGCTCGAAAACTAGTAAGAAACAGTTTTTCAGAATGCTCTGATTTTAATAGTCCCTCCATCAGTTTATGACAACAGATAAGTCCCCTTTAAAATAAACTTGGATTTCCATAACCCAATCTAACTTGAATAATATTTGCTTAGTTACTTTTCTTTAAACTGAACTAATTCTTTAGTAGTTTTGTTTACAAATTATGGTTCGGTTTTTTCCTCATGTGATTTTTGTAGGATCAAGCTACTAACTATATCAAATATCATGATATTGGTATAAATCTTCATGAAAGATTATACAAATTTCTGGTCGATTTTGCCAAGCTACAAAAGGAAGCATTTATTGCACAAAAGTAAACTTGTCTATGCATACCATGTTAAATTTTTGTTTTTCTGTTGTCCAGGCGATTATGTGAAAAACATTTGTCTGATGCACAGAAATATTTTGGTGTTTCTAATAGCTATGTTTCATTTTTTAATGAACTTGTTCAAATTGTTCAGCATATCGTAGATGCTGAAAACTTAATTTCATGCTCCTTCGAAATACACGCTGGTAGCGAAGGTAAATCGATTATTGAAGATGAAAGAAGACAATTGAAACGATGGAAAAATGAAAGGTTAGATACATTCATTTTGTTGTTTTACTATTTTGTTTTATTTTGTGATCGATAATAATGACAATGTTAGCACTAGTAGTAATATAAAAATAACTTGCGTCACTAGTTATTTATTTATTTATTTGAACACATAAATATTGGTACAAAGAGGCACCAAATACATATGCGCCACACAAAATTTCATTTAATTTGCGTGAGGGCCGTAATACTGTCCGGGTGTCCAGACCGAAGCAAGTGGTTTTCTTAAGGGTCCACACAAAAAGCCTTTGATTTAAAGGTCTAATCCACAAGGCAGTGAGTCAACGTCAGGAGATGCAGTTTCATGGTAGCCGGTGATCGACAATTCGTTCATACGCCATTTGTTCCTTAAGGATCCTGGAGCCCTTGTCCACCACTGGTTTGGGATCAGGGTTTTCCAACTCCCTCCGGGTGGACCCTCTGTACCCTCCAATTTCGTAAGCAACATCCCCGCTGCGAGTAAGCAGTGAATAGGACTTTCCTGGCAGTGGCTGTATATGCGTGGCCATGTAAGAGCATTTCGAGGAGAGCGGACTTTTCACACCCTCGACCATGCCAGGGAAATTGGGGTCAATGCTAACCAAAGTATACTGAATAAATCGGAGTCATCGATGATACGAGATCATTGATACTTCTGAGCGCTAAGCGAATATTTACCGACTCTTACTTTAATGATCACGAACGGGAACTACTTATTATATTCTTCTCGGTCTACTAACTAGAGACAGAATCAAAAATCTGTCCAGATTTGTTAATAGAGCTCATTGTGTACTACTTTCATCTACTTACTTTTTTATCCATATAACTGCTGTTTTTATTAGATTCACCTTCCTTCGTCCATGTTTTGACAACTTCACTCACTGGTGTGGCATATAGTATTTTGGTGCATATTTGTACAAACGCTTATATTTCAAATAAATAAATGATACAAATGAATTTATATGTCTACAGACTTTATTGCAGTGATTAACTGTCAAAGAATTTCACATCGATTTCATACAGATGGCCATCGTCGTGAATAGATTATACTAAACTGACACGAAAACTGATATGATGAGCAATGTCTTAATTAACTAGAGGACGGGTGACATGTGAAATCGATTTTCTCCGATTATTTATAGAATATAATCACATTTTAAGAAAAAAAATATTCAACATTGGTTTCAACTAAGTAAGACATTAGTTTCATTTCATTTTTACATGTATTCAGTATATTATTCCTGAATCACTTTTATCATGAATTTCCATCAGTATAACAAGTCAAATAAATGGATATCACGCTGAATTATTTGCTTATTAATTAATACAATGAAAGTTGCCTCGCATTAATACGAAATCTAGCCAAGCAAAAACCGCATTCCACCATTATTTAATCTTAAACTTTCCTTGCTAACAATCACTACGCTACATTGGGAATCGACTGAAGTTGAAAATGTAAACTACTTGGTTTCCAGATACCATGAAGACTATGGGTTTTGAATTCGATCCTGTTTAAGAGAAATTAGTATTATCTATTGAGATATTCCAGGCGAAAATGAGTTGTTCAGCGTTCACTGTTTCAGTAGATACAAGTGTGCCCCCAGATGCCCTCATACGGTTGGGGGTGTGGAGAGTCCGCTCTCCTCGAAATGCTCTTACATGGCCACGCATATACAGCCACTGCCAGGAAAGTCCTATTCACTGCTTACTCGCAGCGGGGATGTTGCTTACGAAATTGGAGGGTACAGAGGGTCCACCCGGAGGGAGTTGGAAAACCCTGATCCCAAACCAGTGGTGGACAAGGGCTCCAGGATCCTTAAGGAACAAATGGCGTATGAACGAATTGTCGATCACCGGCTACCATGAAACTGCATCTCCTGACGTTGACTCACTGCCTTGTGGATTAGACCTTTAAATCAAAGGCTTTTTGTGTGGACCCTTAAGAAAACCACTTGCTTCGGTCTGGACACCCGGACAGTATTACGGCCCTCACGCAAATTAAATGAAATTTTGTGTGGCGCATATGTATTTGGTGCCTCTTTGTACCAATATTTATGTGTTCAAATAAATAAAACTCGCAAGGCAGTGTTGGCCTGAGACATGATCTAGCCACCACAAAGCACTCAGAAAACAATAGTATTCATAATAATTATGCGTTTCTTATAGATCGAAATTATCAAATGAACTAAAATCTCAAACACGTATTATCGATGATGAAATTAAACGATATCGAGATAAATATCGTGATATGATCAAGGCTAAAGAAGACTATGAACGCATCAACGCTGATCAGAGTCATTCACAATTTGATGTCGAAAAGGTTAGTAATGAACTTATTAATTTTTATTGTTTTAAAGGTTTATATTTGAGTTGAATTTGCCTATTTCCTACTTTGGGCACAGGGTTTTCAAAGAAATGATGTAAATGATGTTAATAAGATTTTGTTTGTGTTTGTGTCTTAACTGCTACAAATAGAAAATATTTTGTAGGCAGTTATGCTTCGCTTTCTATGTGATAGAAATTGACATATCTAAAATACTGGCTATCCCCTTTCTACAAATGGATTAATTGACTTATACGCAGTAGTTAGACTTCGCTGCTGTGAACTCTAAGTGATATACTTCAAGAGCACTATTTTTGAACTTAATAAAATGTATTGGAGACTATATTTCCAATTTGTTTATGTTCTCATTTTTTTGTGACGACTTGAATTAATGATTTATTGCACAACTGCTAACATTGTTTTGGTCAGTGAATAGTTTATTTTTAGATCCGCCAAACTAAATTTGTTTACCTGTTGATAAAGTTGTCCAGAGCTTATACATTTTTGGGATGCCTAATAAACATTTCTGACTGGCTTGTATCCACTCATATATCTTTCGAAAGGCAGTTGAAATTTTGTTGCATTCTCAATGAGGTTAGGGGTAAATATATACGACTGTATGAAAGCTGTTCATTGAATGTACTTGAGTTTGATACACTCATGTAACCATAGTCTAAATTTGTCCAACTGAATAATCAAGAGCATTATGTGAATGATTCATTGAAGGGATCATAGATTGGAAGTGAATATTGTATGGATAACACAATGAACCGTTTTTGTACATACTTCATAAATAAGTAGCAACCAAATATTTTATTTAAGGTCAATGAAATGATAATTAGCTAATAAAATGAATTGCCTCACCAAGCCTACGTTACGCCACCTAACCTTGAAAATCCTATACATAAGGTTCTGCATATGTGTTAGTCTGTAATATATTAATACAATTACGTACTCTAGACAGCTTCTGGCTTGACGAAATCTACGGTGGTAGTGATAAGTCTTGCTAATTGAACGCTAGGTTAATTCCCTAAGCTCTTCTAGTAACCCCCAGACTAAAACTACACAGACTTGAACATGAGAGGAAAGGCGCGAAGTGTGTGAGGAACACTACTTCAAAGGTTCGTTTTGTACAGAAAATAGAGGGTTTTTATAGTGTTTTAGATGTCCTTGGGTTTCCCGAAAATTCTGGAATGCTACTAAACATAGTAGCAGTACGGTAATCATCCAATCAGAAACTCAACATGTGACTTTTAACTTTCTTGATGTTTCTGGCAAAACTTTTAGTGAACGCTGATTGGATAAGATGTTTTTCAGTGTTTTCAGAGCCTTTCGTGGCTTTTTTCGAGGAGTTTACTGGATCTCCCCAACAGGTAGTAGGGTCTGTTAAATGTCTCAGGTTATTTCTATATGAAGTTGTCTGGTAATAACGGACTTGCTATGATTGTTCTTTTCACAGTGTTGATTTATATGTTTAACAATTGACTTAGTTCCAATCATCGCTCACTGTCGGACTAAGCCATGTTGTTAAATACAAACTAACTTTATAATCCGCGTAATCATTGTAACTAATGGTTAGAGACTTCAAATGACATGGCTCAAAATCTTTTGGAATAGCTCAGGAGCATTTACTTTCTTTGCCTTACCTTAGATCCTAAGTTTTTAAATTCCTTTTGATTTCTTTTCTAATATTTCGCTGACTTACATTTTCTCAAGTTTCACTCTTGATGTATAGTCTTTTCTAGTACTGTTAATCCTGTTATTACCTCTACTTTCCTGGGATTCGTTCTAACAATTTCATCTCGTTGTGCTAATGAGGTGCGGCAACTTAAACTGATGTACACGTGTGCCTGGTTCTACATTACATTTAACTGACTATATTATTACATTGCTGTGTGTATTTGTTATAAATTCAGGAGTCCATTTAGGTTTTTAATAGTATAAACTTTTAGTGGCCCTATATCTAACTACACTTAGATCGTATGAATGGTTGTCATCGAAATATACATGTCGCCAATCCTCGTATACAATCATCGACTTAAATCACGTTAGTGGATAACGGAATTAAATAAATCAAATACGAGAATGGATTTCGATTACATATATTTCATACAATCGTTGATCCAGGCAAACTATCGGAGAAGCGAAGCGAAATGACGCGCGGTGGAGAAGGCATTTAAGCCAACTCAATTTGATTAAGCGTTAATCGATATTTATAGTCACACGAAAGTAAGTTACAGACATGTGATGAATAAGATAAGAAATGTACGCACATACGCTCATATAAAAACAGTCAAGGTTGATAAGCGAATAATTAACAAGGTCAAATGTGATTTAAGAAGAATGAATAAATCGGCTTGTCTGGAAGCCAGAATAAGCTATGTGTGCTTAACATAGCAACCAACACTACAAACTACGGAGATGTACTAAATTATCTACTGTCTAACCTCTCGGGTTTTTCCATCACTTTTCCACCAACTCAGATGTCCCTTTCAACTTGTCCTTAGGATTCAGTACATCTAAATTATTTGTACGAGATGACTGGAAAGTTTTTAACTGGACGATGTGATCGTTAGACTGTGACGAAGTAAATTGTGTTCTATAATTGGAAATCAAAATATAAAGTCCTTCAAACTTAGTAAATAAATATCGTAAGTGAAGTATAGTGACTGATCTAAACCACTTTCGTACTGCAAAAATTTCTAGCCATAGATGAGCCGTAGCTTTCGCATGTTGTATAGCGGCTTGAGCACAACGATGATTTATTGATACAAATTCTTTTATACCTTTGTCCCATAAATAATGTAAAAATGTACCTATGCACAATTGACCTCATAGGACTAATCCATAAGTAATCCGTTTAAATGCAAAAAACTTCTATATAGATTGTAAAATGAAATACATTTCGGTAACCAAATTAAAACTTATGAACTAATGGTATTGACCAAATGAACCTCAAAGAAATGAATTTAAACTCTTTGGATCGGTACCCTGGTTAATAACGTATATGTATGTATATATGATACCTCAATGCAAATCTTTCTTGATAGTAATAAACTCGAGTAAATTATTCATTATCAATTTTCCCTTTTCTTATTTACATTGTCCACATTTATTAATCATTGGAAAATATGGGTGTGATTATATGTATGGTGGAGCAATTATGGCGTGAAAATACAAAGCATTGTATAAGGTCAACTGAATGTATGATTACTATCATTTCTATTGGTAGTAGTAATGGTTATTATTATTATTATTGTTTGTGTTGATAAATGGGTGTTCCAATTATGCGCGAGTCTATAATTATCCCATACCTATTGGTTTTCAGTGAATATCGAATTCATGAAGAACACTGACTTATATTCTCTTTCATCTTGTTGGTTTGATGCTGTATACCTATTGCCATCGGTGTATTACATAATCGTAAAAGCACACATCAATATGAATATGTATACACGAATAATTATGATCAATACCATAATTCCTATGACTAATCTAAAATCATGAATCTTTATTTATTTTTTTTACCTTTTGTGGTGGTTGCTAGCTACCCTAATTATACCATTAACATTTTAATGATTCATAAATATATGTATGTATACGTCTGTGGATGTTGTAAAACTAGTATACCTGCTTTCGTCAAGATGATTAGTCAGCTATTCGTTTTGATGAATAATTGGCAAAGCAAAGGATAGTGGTTATGCGAAATTATTCATGGTGCTAATGTTTGATTAATTCATTTGTTTGAATTCTGTTTACATGACTATGGTTAGGTACCATTATTCAATATTATTCGACTTTATTGATGCAACAACATGATTCTGTACAATATCAATAAAATTAGTTTTACCTTTTTAATTAGATTTCTTCGTAGATTTCACAGTTTTAAGGTCATTGTTCATCAGTGTCAGTATCAGTACGAGTCTCATTCACAAACTAGTTATCTGTAAATATTAAGTTTTTGCTTAAATTCCAATACTCACAAGTAATCAAATCATTCGTACTTATATTGAAACATGTTATGTACCACTGTTGATCCAATACGTAAACTCTTAGGCAAAAAATTATCAGGTTGATGAGATTTTTGACAGGGTTACTTCAATTGGTTGCAAGTTATTTGTCTCTCCATTCTTAGTCTTGATTGAAATAGAGTCAGGGAAAAACAGACTACAGAAAGATGAATGTTTCAAAACTATTTATTCAATTGTTCTGTACCTGTTTAATGTTTATCTAATCTTTTTATCATCGCCACTGTATAGTTCTGATGTTTTGCTTAAAGATTACCTGCTTGGACTATAATGATCGCTTCCAGATTTTATTATTTTTAAGGACTTACACTTTTCCATTGTTAATATTTAAGGCCGAAATAACCAGTTTCAATCGGTATATCAGCTTCTTGAACACGTGTTTTTATATTCCATGATTTTTACTAGATCACTATGTTTCTACATTGTTTTAAGGCAATTGAATTTTGGAAACTAATTAGCCACCTATCATATTTTTAACTACTATGATTTGTCAAATTATCAACAAGATTCAATGAAGTACAAGTTGCTGAATAAACTGAGTATTAATAATAATAATAATAATTATCTTACATCTACATAATCTTGTCAAACCATCAAATAATGTGTTTTTGAAATTTGTCACATTTTTAACAAAACTAATTATCGTGCTTCTATAATTTAATTTCTCATTAATTTAACAGGAAAATATCCACAAACTTTTCCTGAAATTCTAGTTAATCTCAAGAGTCCAAAGAATATGTTAGTAGTTATTGTCATTTTCTACTAACATTTACTATGCTGCCTGTTGAAAAGTTTTATTATTGAAAAGAATAGAAAGTGCTATAATGTTTGATGCATAGATCTGTCTTCTGTGCAGGTATTATGAGAATAAAACGTTAGAAATGAACGAATACAATAAGAAACTCGAAATGTTGAAAGCGATTCTCCGAGTAATGACTTTATGTATATGTCGTATGTATTAAATGATCGGTTTACGGTATTTTTTGGCTTATCTTAACATTAAGTTTTCATTTAATTCCTTAATTGTTGATATATTTCTTACCGCTCGTAAATTACAATTAATTAAATATCAACCTGTTCATCTGGATTGCACCGCAAATGACTTTATTTTGTTCAGTTTGAGATTTCTTAAATTGGTGCATCGCTTTCTTCTGTCTGGTTTGCTTGATCACGTGTTTTTCTAAGTTTCATAAAAGGTACTTCGGCACATCAGTCTATTTTTCTGATGTCCTGGTTAGTAGTTAGGGGACCGACGCTTACATGATCGGGCGTTTACGGTACAAACATTGTGTTATCGGTTTCATAACCAATGTCCATAGAAAAAAAAATCATAATAGCAAAAAGTAATTCAGCTACTAAGTACATGGATTCATGTACTCAGCTCTTGTTTACACGTTATATGTGCGAACTTAGTGATACTATCCATCTATCCAGAATTCAAAAACGGTGTTCAGTTCTTCAACACTATGTCACACAAATTAAAATCACAATATTGCGAAATAGAAGAGAGAAAACCTTATGATCAATGAATAAACATAAATAAATGAAAATAAAGAATTAATAGAATCTGGTACAAATCTGTAGTCTAGTGGTTAAAAATTTAATGCAAAACAATCTAGCTATGATTCAACTCATATACTTTATCTTAAAAATAACATAAGTTACCTGCAAATTTGCTTGATAACGTCAATCATTGGATAGAGGTATTAGGTAACACTACTTGGAATCGTTCACAATGACACAACTGCATTCACTCTCCATCTTCGCCTAAGTTTTGGATTGCAATGTTATTTTTTCACTTTTTATTACTGAAATCCATATTTTTGGAAAATCTGTTTTCAAGATCATTGATACTGGACTATTTTGTTATTATTATTATTAATTTCATTTTTCTGTGCTTATGTGATATGACAATCAGGGATTGTGCACATTTGTATCAGGATGTGTTGATTATGATTGATTTACTAATCAGCCTTTGTTAACATAATTTACATCATAAGTTGATATTCGTCTTAGTTAGGGGTTCATCAATGGTACGCACCACTATAAAATGTATAGCTGTTCAGTACTCTGTGTGGTTTATATTACTTACCTAGTTGATATCGGTTGATGATAATACATATTTTCAAATTAGGCAAATTACCGCATAAATCACTACATCTGTTCCATAGTAAGTTTCTCCCTTAAATTATGTCGGGGTTTAATTATAAGATCTACCAGTCATTATGATTATATTACATGTGGTAAAAATCTTACGATCATTAATACTACAACTTGATTGTGGTATTTAGCTTCATAGATTAATACTTTTCGCTGAAATCTTTTCAAGGTAAACTTTAAGAATGTGTTTTAAATTATCAGTGTCTATAATTAGAGGTCAATACTAATGCTGTTTTATTTTGGCCAGTAATTTCTTCAATCCACATTTTAAGGTATGTTGGACCTAATTGCATTGTCTGAACTAAAAAAAGCAAAGCCTAACATAGATACAGAATGAGACAAATGAATTATTCCAAAGTCTCAACAATAATCCAAATTGTTTATTTGTTTGCATAAACTGCAGTCCTTTTTTCACTGTTAATTCCAGTTTTTTAGGCTTGTATTACAGTGGTTTACTGAATAAATTCAATTTTTCATACCTTGTTTTTATTTATGTGTGTAGGCTTTAAATTATGCACGATTGAAAGAGATTGATTTTGAGAGAGCACGAAAAGATTATTCTGCTGCTTTGAACCAATTTAATTTATACCGTCAAGATTATTACTTTCGTTGTTTACCATCATGGGCACAAGTTGGCAAAAGTTTAGAAGTTGAAAGATATGCACGTACCCAATCTTTAATCAATATATTATATGAACGGTTACGAGTGGCAATTGATCGTATGAACAATGTATGCGATGAATTCAAATCAGTGTGTACACATCTTAATTCAGATCAAGTAAGTATCCATCCTGACAGGATTGCTTTGATATGGCCATTTTTGTAACAAGCTTTTTCGAATGTATGATTTGTTGCCTTTCGTTTCAGATTTCAACGCAGAATCCATTGAGCTACGGAGTCCTGTTATCCCTTTAAGATAAAGATTTTTCTTTCTTGAAGGTACATTTATCTGAAAACAGTGAAGTGAGATGAATTTCTCCGAATAATCGTACAATATAGTGTTCCTGTGTTTTTATTGTTTTCCGAGTGGTGATTTGTTATCAGTCGAGAAAATTGAAGATGGATAGTTGTTCCTCTCGGTTATTTTCAGCTCCACCGTTTGATGTCCGGTGATTAATATCAGTTTCACTCTGCATTCGGGTACTATGATTCCCTTACAGGATAGCAAAAAAGTAAAGTTGACTGATAAAAGTAGCACTTATGGATCATATGCATTTACAAAACCAGTTAAAAAATTAATGGGCATTTGACTTTTGATTGTTTGGGCAATCCACACATTCTTTTTGGCTGCTCACACACACAACTTAAATTACAAGTTTGGGAAGTCCCATGACTAGACAGAATCAATTATATATGGTGTAATACTAAGTTCGAGATTTGCGGGAAGCTAGAAAATAAATGTATTTACACCTCTGCAATCGATTTTAGACCAATATCACATAAGGTCTTTAAGCATAAACTGCAATTGTCTAGCGGAAGAACACTAGGAGATTTGAATCTTCTGACATTTAGATCACTTATGATCGGATTCTTTTTTGTCTGGTTAATTTAGTTATTTTTCTGTTCTTTGTTTTTTGTAGTTGTCTAACACAAAGTCGAATTGATGAACGCTCACTACGTTCACAACAATAATAACAGTATTAGTGATAGTAATAATATTAATATTTGTATCTTAAAGTTTGGTCGTGTACTTAATTTTATTTTTAATGCAAACTAGGATTCTAAAGAAATTATAGAATATTTACAAAGTAATAATCCACCGCCTGGGGATATTGCTTTTGTGGATCTATATTCATCTGCAGTGAATAATAGTACTATACCATCAACCGTTAAACAGTCAACATATGCAAAACCACAAAGAACTAATTCAAGTGAACCAATTTATTCATCGGGTAGTGTTGTTCTTCCATCGAATTTTCACTGTTCCGTATGGGCAGCAGATAATGCAGCATTGGAATCGAGTAAACAATGTGGTGGTAACAATAATAATGATAATAATAATTATGTACCATCATCTTCCACTTCCATTGGAGACTCAATCTATGGTGAATCCGCTTCCATATACTCTGCATCTTATGCTTCAACAACATCAACTAATGGTTTACACAATGGTGGAGTCGGCGTTGGTAGTAACTGTAGCCGTCGTCCAAGTGTTAGTGATAATTATAGTGCGTCAAATCTACGCAATCCTTCTATGCCTATAAATGGTGCAGGGTTTTTGCGGAGAATTTTTTCACGACGTAGTAGGGTAAGATTACCCATTATATATATAATATTAGTTGTTTTTGTCTCAATGTGTATTTTCTATTCACTTCTTCTGCAAGAACCTTTCTTCAGTAATTGATAACGGATATTTTAAGATTATTATTGATAGATACATACAATACCTCTCGACTCATACAATTGTCTTGCAGTTCGGAAACAAATTCTGTACGTCTGTGATTCGAATAATTAACGTACTTTGATTTATCTTATTCGTTCATTGAAAATAATATTGATCCATCCAGTAAATGTTTCAGATTCATATTTATTATTTAATTTAATGTGATAGATAAGTATTACATCAATCCGAATTATTTTTTGTATAGATGTAAGTGAAATAAGGGTTGTATTCTAGCATTTTCGTAAAGCCATTTGATACTAGGATTATAAATGGGTTGGTTATTGTTTTCAATGTTATTCTTTACCTTGAGATTATGCCACTTAATCCTACAACTAAGTGGATCACTTAATCGGGAAATAATGCGTATAAGATTTTTGAAACATTAACAACCTAATCTTGTATGTAATCCCTTTGTGTAACATTTGTATTTCAAAGTTCAAGTGCATGGATCTATACTCGATTAGTGAGATCTAGCAACACTCATATTTAGACTTACAACTATGTTTTGTGTTTTTTTCCTAAACGTAAACTGATTTATTCTAAAGTCAAGCGAGAAGTATAATATTTACAGAATAAAATGAATTCGTTTTAAGGCTGCTCATCACCTACGAACGGCTTATATTTACATTAGTGGTATCATAAATATGTTTCATTACATACCATAATCAATTAAGTTTGGTTCTAAACAACTTGAGAAGCAAGAAGAAACAACATATTTAGCATAATAGTCACGATCCATTTGCATCTATATGTTGAAAATGAAATCATAAAAAGGCATAATGAAGTTATAAATGGTAATAAAGTGACAATGAATATGAACAGATTGCTGCCGAATGACCAATAATCAAGACACCTATGTAGCATAACATAAATGTTAACGTCTTGTGTGAATATTAGTGAGATATTTTTTGCTTCATGTTATAAACCATAATGAAGAAATAGTGAATCTGACAATCTTTAAAATAATTTAACTATCTTGGCAATGGTAGGTCTACCACTTTTTTTCTGTATGCAAAGGTCATGTCGAAAGCACTTGATGACAGTGACCTCTGTGAGACGGAGTAAAATTGATGTACGTTGTCTGTTAATTCTTTTGAATCCTTTTTAGACATCCACGTTGTGTTTACCATGCATTAGATGTTTATTGGTCGCACTTGTGAAGAGTTTACTTCCTTTTAGACACAACATCCTGAAAATATGTTCCGAAAACATTTCGAGTTGACTTCAGAATGGTATTGATTCACTTTTGATTGATTTAAGGAAAATTTGATGCAATACACCATAATTAGTTGGGCTTCAGGAAGCTTATCTTTTGCGCTGTCTTGACCCTTTTATCAATCATGCCTGAAACCTCCTCACCTTTGAATCCAAGACGAATGAAGGAAGGTTTTCCGTTAGTAGATGTTTGTTTTGGAATTTACGTTATCGTTTTTCCGCACTTCATAATAAATTTCTTTGAACATACATGTTTAAGGCACATGTACTATGCCAATTCTTCGTGTGTATTGTTTGTTGAACATGACATTCGAGCCCTATTAAATAGGGTTTTGACTGAATATTTGTAACTAACAGGAGAAAACTATTGTAATTTAAGTGTTGATTATGACGTTCATATTCCTTCGTGAATTTGATGTCAACCTGTGCTTTATTTTTCTTGACTAACGCCTACATTATTCAGTTCACTTGTAGTAATTAAATATTCTTCAGTATATAAATCCTTTTCCTAAAAATCCACTTGACGTAGAGTATTATTTTTCAAAGTGAAATATTCTGTGTTTCCCAGGCGTAGTTACACTGGTGAAATATAGTTTCACAAAGCCTCTTCTCTTTTAATCATCTAGCTGATAAGTGACACATTTGTATTATTATACCTCGATGTATTGAGATTTCATAGTTAAAACTGCAGTGCTTGAACTCCCTCTCAAGTCTAGGAGGTTTAGCAGTTTTCTTTCTATTTCTTATTCTAACTCATTGTCTTCATTTGACTTTCTTTTACCTTTTCGTCTAAATTAAGAATAACTTATTTATTATCCTAATAATAAATCACCTGTAATGATAACATCATTCATCTCTGTTTTTTTAGCACTGATGAAACCAATCAACTCTCACAATAAAATAGTCACGTCTATAGCAAAAAATTCCATCGTTGAACTATGCTTATTTTTATATCTTTGAATTTATTATTGTTAGATTTGCCATGTGTCTGTGGTTGAATGACAATTGTCTGTTTCAGCTTTTCAGAAGTTATTTATTCAATTCTTACAAATTCCAGCTGAACAGCTGAACTCTCATATTTAATGCAGTATGCTATGGATCTAGGTTTTACCTCATTTGAAGGGATAGGGTGGATGAAAATTAGAACAAAAAGCACTTTAATTTCATTAGTACTGTACATGGTGTTTGCCATACATGGAAATTATTTCAAACATTTGTTAATCGCCATAATTAAGTACATCGCTCGTTCATTTGACATTGAATGCATATCATAAATCAGTCTTTATATAGGTGACGGTTTAAATTGTGTATGTTCATGTCGGTACGGCATCCGATGAAAGATGGGATGTGTCATCTTCGTTTTTTTCTGCCGTAGTGTCTATTTCATGTCAAGCCCACACGCGTCATTCTAGTTTCCGGACAGGTCGATTTATTCATTTTCTTGATCCACATTTTGGTCTTGTTAATTATTCGCTTGTTAACCTTGAATTTTTATATGAAGACATGTTTGTGCATTGCTTATCCTACCCATTACATGTCTGTAGCTTATTTTTGTCTGACTAAAATATCTAATCACTTTTGGTCAGATCGAGTTAGCACACATGCCATCTGCACATCGCTTCGTTCTCCAGCTTATCGTTCTAAATGTCTGTCTGGATAAACGAGTGTTTGTAGTAAATTTATCCAACGCTATCCGTATTTAACTTCTTATTACCACATCACACGAAGGGGGTTAGTCTAGGTAATATACGGAGTTAAATGGGAGATTTATGTTTATAGCATATACGTTCATCGATCGATGAGTCAGATTAACGGACTACAAAACTTCATCCTGCATATATGTATAGTAATTGAACTTAATTATTTTGTAAGGTGTAGGTATAATCATCCCACTTCAATGTTCAATGAAAGCGTAATGTCTAGCGTTTTTGAACATCTTCCCGTTTTTTTTAGTGCCATACAAGAGTATAATTTTCACTGGAGATTTCATTTTCTGTTATTTGAAACTATTCACATTTATCTTTTATGAACACACCACTGTAGCGCATCCCAAATTAACGGATGAAAAAATAAATAAAATGAAAGTTGAGGATTCAAATGAAATTTTCAATCTAAATTATTCTCTTGTATGCAACACTCATCCTTTAAATGAACGGAAAAATATTCAGAGCTCCTATTCTGTAAAAAGATTGTTTTGAATCAAAAATAGTTTGTTTTTGTTTTTGTTGACTGGTGGACAAGTCAAAAATAGGACGCTCTGAATAATAGTTTCATTTTAGTTATTAGCTTTTTCAGCAATGCATACCTTAATCTTATTAAAAAAGCTAAAACATCTACGTCTTCAGCTCTCATGATGAGGAGAGATTCTGAAAAATTCTAAATTAGAACGAACCAATGTCCAATACTGCTTAATTTTCATTATTTTTCCATATGATATCAACCTAATACAAACTACCTCCCTAAAGGGAAATAATTCCGATAAAGTATATACCAAGCATTAAGTTATTTGATTTCACCCTGTTCTAAGTAATTCATTCTTTTTTAATGGTAAGATTGTTAATGGAAATTACCAGCTAAGTACAAAACCTTTTTGACGATTCTATCATGTGATCCAAACTGTAATAGATATGACGGGTTCCTAACCCATTGCCGACCAAACGTTAAGGTCATCAAGATATAGTTGCACTTCATTAAAATCATTATATGCTCCAAAGCATCTAAGACATTTGGGTTTCAGCCGTTGGGCTTTGAATTAAAACCCTGTTCGACTTCCTTCGATTTGGGCAACTATGTAGTATCAATGGCTGTCACACAAACAGTAGCTCAACGTCGAATACATAGACTCATACATAGTAAATGATATGATCACATAGCAATTTTTCACACAATAATATTTTACTGATAATTCCTCTTAGTTGTATTGAAAGGTTGGTTTTCCAAGTCCTTGGAAAAGTACATAAATACTTTTATAATTTACTACATAATATAATAATACATATATAATTGTTTGTACTTCCTTTTTGTGTGATTTTTCTTTGTCTAAACTGTCTGTCGTTTATTGATTGTCATTAAATAATGAATTAATTTACTATTTCACTTAGTGGTATTGACAAACTTGTCTCATAATTCATCCTGTGGTTAACTCTTGCTGTTGTTTTTCTTGTCCTCCCACTTCCCTCTCTCTCACTATTTAATAGCGTTTTCTCTGTTTTAAATGTTCAATGGTCCTATAAATAAACTTCGATTTAATTTACTTGGTATTTATGTCTTGTAAAGAATTTTTTTTAATTTTTTTATTTATGATCTGTTAATTTTAACCCTGAAAGTAAATTTGAAAATATGCAGATAGAGAAAGGAAAGAAGAAAAATAAACACGATGAAAGTCTTCTACATCTTCATAGTTGTTATCCCGTTTGATAATATCGATATTATTGTTGTAATTATATCATTAATGCTATTGGTATTGTTTTTCTTCTAGTTTTTTTTGTTATAAATGAATGCATTTATATGTACACATTCAAAGTTGTGAATTAAACAACTCACTAGTTTGACGGTTGAACTTCTCTCTGTGAAAACTGAAGGCCCTGGGTTCGATCTCTGATTCGTTTGTGTGCACACATTACTGCTTAGGAGTAGTCACATGCCAGGAA